AATACAACTTCTAAAACTCTGAATTAAATAAACCTCTTTTCTTCATAAAGAGCCCAACCTGAGCAACAGAAAAAGGACAAAGACCCAGTTATTCAGGAGAACAGAGAACAGCTGGGATTTGAAACAAGCTCTTCCTAACACTCAGAAGCACAGAGCAGTCGGAGACCCCAGAGTCCTTTATTCTTACGACGGACATTCCTTCTGTGGCAAGAAGGACAACTGCCTGAATGTCTGCTTCTGGTGCTGCTCTGCCCACCTTTTAGTGAAATTCATACAGAATCTACCTTGTAACTTTATGAAAACAGAACCATTGAAATCTAGTAAGGAAATACGCATCATTGAATTTGTCTGAAATAAAGATATTTCAATAAAAGTGGCTAAAAAGGAAGTAACTTTTGTGTTTTAAGGTTTTCTGCCACCTTGGGATAGCCTAGATAGCCTACTTATTTTAACTCATTTAAGAACTGATGAGAAGTAATTTTTAAAAAGCTTTATTAAGTTAATTTCACTTCTATTAAAACAGAAAATACAAAACCACCTAAAACTTGAAAACACCTCTATTTTCCTTCCTTAATTCTTTAGTATTTGGAAATCGTTATAAGGTGTATTTCTCTAAATTTGATAAGATATGTGAATCATACTATTCTGGTATGTCAGATTCATTCCTTCATTCAAATAATACTTGTGGAGTACTGCGTAGATGACAAATATTATGTGGGATATTTTTCTAGTTTATATTTGTTTTGCCAGTTTTCATGCAATGAAGACACTTAAATATTTAAAAAGTGGGGAGATATTTGAAATTTTTTGTAGATTTCCATTTACAAAGAGATTACTGAAAAAAAATGGAGTTGATTTACATGATTGGCTAGGGTCTTCCCACCACCATCATCTCCTGTTTTGTTACCTATAAAACGGATTTCTATACAGATGAGGCTAAGTATTGGCCTTGGAAACTGGATGGATAAAATATGGATCATGGTATTTGGTAAGTGACTTGACTTCTCTGTGACTTACTCTTTGGAGCATAAAATGGTAATTCCAACACCGTGTAATTCGTAGGGCTTACTGTGAAGACTAAGCAAGGAAATGGAGAAAGGGCTTAGAATAGTGCCAGGCATGTGCTGAATGATCAGGAAATGTTAATCATAATATTTTAAAGGAACCACCAGATCATGTTCTCTCCCAAATGTCACAGACCAGTCCTCCTTACCTGACCTCCTTATCTTCTATGTGACGACAGTGCCAGGCACGAAGAAAGATTTAAAACAAATTTGCTCAACAAATGCAGCAATAATGAAAGATCAGGAGGCTGGCCACCAGCTCTGCTCCTAGCCTGGTCACTCTGCTGCCTGTACTGCCCACTGTGCCCAGTGGGGAGGAACTGAGAAGTCACCAACTCTCCTTATGCTCTCTCTTCTCTTGTTTAAAAAGGATACAAAAGAGTTATGAATCATGGAGCTATAAAATATAATTGACCATCTTAATTCTACTATAGTTTCCAGGAAAATGATCACAAGTCTTATAAAATGATTTTTATTGGAAATAGTCAACAGTATTGAAATTGTACAGAGTTGTACCATACTTTAAAAAATGCTTAAGAGAAATTTAATGCTGATTGTTTGCTTAATCAAAAACAGCAGTAGAACTTGTTGGCACTAGTGCCTTTACTCAGCTATTCTATTCTTCCCTAAGAGCTCTGTGGAAAGATATGGAGAATGAAGATTTTTTTTTTTGAGATAGGATCTTACTATCTCAGGGCCTAGTGGGCCTCAAATTTTCAGTCTTGCTTCAACCTCCTGAGTAGTAGGGCTACAAGTGTGCAACAGTTCACCTGGGTTGGCATGAAATCAAGTTGGATAAAAACCACCCAATGTTCTTTCAGATGTTCCATCTTTCTTGGCTTTCCAATACAGATGAACTTACATGAGAATGAAAAAGGCTGACTGACTCACTTACAGGCAGTTATTGAAAGTAACTGAACTTCAGAGTCATTGTTTCTCTACTATCAAGTAGGATAATTATGATCACCTCAATAAGATTATCATGAGTATCACATGAAACAGCTAGCCAAGGAGTAAGCTTTTAGTAAGTGGTAGCTATTAACAGTGCAACGCTTATGACTCACTGCTAGGAGGACAGGCATGCTAGATTAGGGAAAATGTAATGCTCTGAGTTAGATAAACAGCTGAATCAGGAAACAAGGATGTGTAAAGGGAGCACAGCATAGCACAGCCAGAAGTTGAGTTCCATCCAGCTGTGTGGCCTTACTTAGTTTCTTTGTTCCTCAGGTTCCCTACTAGGGAAAAACCAGAAACAATGATTCTGAACAGGAGCATATGAGGAGACCACGAGCTATTATTTGCAAGTGGCTTAGAATAATGCCTGGAATACAGCAAGAGCCACACAAGCATTTGTTAAATAAATCAGAGGGACAAGAATGGCTAAAGTGACACAAAATGGCTTGTTAGGAAACCTTTGGAGTAAAGGCTAGCTATGTGCCTTCCAGAGGTACAACCTGGAAAGCCACCAGATGCATTCATCCTTTCAACTCCATGCTCCCCTGAGGTGCAAGCTCAAGCATGGTGGTCATGATTGATCTCCATTTGAAAGGGCACATAGATCAGTGGCAGAGACAGAAAGAAGGCTCAGTTGAAAGTGGAGGTAAAGTATGCAAGGACAATATAATATTCTTTCCTGTGGGTTCCACAGCACTCTATACATACTCCAAGGCATCCCAATTATCTCTTAATTACATAAATGCTTCCCCAGGACAGAGTTCCTATAAGAAGAGATAGTCCTGTCCACTGTATATTTCCTACAGTAAGTGTGTCCAAGTAGGGCCCAAGTGAGCAGCAATACTGCACCTGCTCTTGCCGAGCACTCGTACCTGCATCTCCAACTGTCCACATCTCACTATTAACCTTCCATAATGTCCTAGTGTGACATGTGAAGAGTACTGATCCTAAGAATATGGTACTTTAAAAATCTAACCTTCTTCATAGAAGTGGCTTAAAATCACCCTGTCACCACAGACTAAAATCAACCCGTCACAGACTGGCTCAGAAGCCTCTGTCAGGTACTTCCCCGGCCTTGTTAGTCCATCCACAGACACTCAAAGGCGGCACACACAACTGAACTCACAAACTATGAAAGTTAGTCAACTTTTTCTTTCCTTCTTTCTGAAGTACAGCCATTCATCTGTCAAATTATTCTTCTGTTTTCTTTTCTGTTTTCTTGAGCCTCTCTCCCTCTCCCCCCCCCCATCACTAATCTCTCTGCCAGCCTCCATTGGAGGGTCTTGCTCTGATTTTGCCTAAGGATCATTCAGAGATACAGCTTCATAAAATAAAAGCTGCATCTCTTTTCTTCCTTGTTCCAATGTAGTCTTCCCATTCCTTAGTTTACCCCCTTTACTTTGAGGCTCACCATCCTCCCTATTTTGGCCCTACCCTGCCTGTGTAAGGTAATATTAACTTACCAGGTCTGCATGCAGAATCTCCTTACTCTACTCACATTAGCAACCTCACAGCATTAATCACTGCAATTTGCTTCCTTTAATGCAGTTTCTAAAATGTACTTCTGTGTACTTTTCCCTGTTTGGGATAATGCGATTCATCTTTTCTTTCTGGCTATTTGAATAGCTTTGACCATTAATATACAATCTCATTAACCCTCTAGACTCCATTACTAACACATAATTGTGTTACCTTTGTTTCCCTCTATATTTTCTGTGCTTATGCATGAATGTTCCCTCAATGAAATTATAAGCTCTTTGATGAGAGGGAACTTATACTAATTTTACTTGCTTATTTAATAAGTATTTATTAAGCTCCAGTACTCTGTTGGTCACTGTTTTGGGCAACAGTAATGAACAAGACAGATCCAGTCTCTGGTCCACATGGAGCTCACATTCTAAATTCTAGTAACTGTTTGCATGCAGTGAGTTGTAAAAAAAAAAAAAATCACACCTATATTAAACAATATGAAGCCAAGGTTAACACCATAAAGAAAAAGAAGAGAGCACTAAAAGAACATGACAAAGCTTCACACAAAGGCCCCACAGCTGAGATCCAAAAGACAAAATAGAAGCAAAGAGGCAGATGGGGTTTAAAGAAGCTTGGCGCCTTAGGGGTCCAGAGAAAAGTTTGGTATGTGTAAGTTGCCAAAGGCAGAAGGCACACCACGAAATGATGTCACTGAGTATAGTGTGGTTGCAATCTGTGGCACTCAACTAGAAAGCACTGGCTAAAAAGAGCACACTTTTGGTATAGGTAGTCTTTTGGTGTTGGCATGATGGCAAGAGTCATTGCTGAACAGACTGACTGTAACTTTGTTGTTTGATTTGCAAAAAAATTAAGACAGGTGCTTAAAAGAGATGCTAGACTACTCATCTTACTGACCCAAATAAGCACAGGAGGATGCAGGGTGAAGGAAATGACCCTGAAAAGGCTCCATGAAGCAAAAAGACTAGGATCTGCTTGCTTTGGATAGTTTTCAACTTTTATCTTTTCTTTAATTCAAAGCAGACATGGAGCAATGACAACTATGATATGGGCTGAGGCCCATTCCATGTTACAAGTTGGATGCCCGAATGCTTTGTGCAGACCACCTAACAGATGGTAATGTATTTTAGCCATTACCAATGTGGGCAGGAAGCAAACCAGTGACCCCAGAGGTGAGAGGTTGTATTTCCAATTACAAATTTCCACTTTCCGTGAGTGCTAAGATGCCTAAAGCAATATATTTTATTTAGATCAAGATGCATTGTATAAACTATATTTGATAAAAGAGATGACTTCTTGTTCTCAACCTAAATCAAAGAATGCTTACTTAAGTATTTTTTTAATTGAATCAGACTTTAATGCCATTGTATAATCTTTTGGTTAACAGTGCTCATCTTGATTATTCTAACGAAGAAGAACATAGACATTTATACTTAGGTTGTAGAGCTCATGTCCATCTACTAAAAAACACATCAGAAAATTCAAAACATGTACCTGGGATATCTGTAAAGGTTTCTCCAAGAACAGAGACCTGGAAATTGAGTCCTAAGGCCTTTAGATGCATTAATACCTTAAAAAAGCTCTCTGGATCTTTGTCATGCTCCCTGTAAATGAACAGAAAACATATCTAGGGTTACCTTAGAGTACATGTTAGTAAAAGTGATTTCAGTTTACACAGTGCTTGGAACTGTCGGGTCTTTTGCTGATGGGGAGGAAGGAAGACACCCCACCACCCCTGTATTCATAGGTTGCATTATTCTCCCTGAAACTACCACAGCATCAGCATGTGAGTGATTTCACATCTATACTCTCTTAGCATCAAACCTAGTCCTACTGATGTGTTAAGTTTCTTAAATCCTGTCTTTTCAATATTTTTAGGTTAGAGTAGAGAAAATATTCAATAATTTTCTTTTCCCAAATGGCTAATTTTCTACTTAGCATGGATTCTTTTTCTTTTCTTTTTTTTTAAAGACCAGTCTTCAATGGATAATTCTCTGTTTATCATGAGAATGTACCAAAGATGCTTTGCATTCTACAGGTCTGAATGACTTTCTCCTACATGTATATAGCCCCTTTATGCCCACGAGGAGCATGCAATTCAGGAAATGAGATGATAGCCCCTTTCAGTAATTTCTCATTTTCAATGACTGAATGAAGAACTATAAAGCAATAAAAGGGATGGACAGGTCTGAATCTTTATGTGCTATAAACACTGACTTAGGACTGTCATATAAAAGAATCATAACAAAGATAATACTTTCATTTCACACAGGCTTAAAAAGCATAAAATATTTTTGGCTTGTTCAGTTTGTCAGTCTTTTCTATTGACAGAATGAGAGGTTAAAAGACACCAAAATTAAACAAACAAAAAAATCCATCAATTCAACAAATGGAATGGATTTTTTAACATTCTAAGGTGTGAATATTTCAGTATTTCTTGCATTTAATTACACTGTTTTAAATTATCTTATTTCAGACAGATGTAGACCAGATGTCTTCAAAATATTTATTTTTTATTTATAATTTAGAAATTTTAACTTTTATATTAGAGAAAATAGTTATACATCAGCAGCTGAATTTCTCATTTGCTAATTACGTAAAATAAATCTGTAAATTATCAAACTGCTATATGAAATATGGAAATTACATCATCCAGGAAGCCTCATGAAAAATGACATCTGTACCCCTAAATGTGTTAATTTATAATTTAGTCAATATTTTCGGTATCATGAATTGAAACAAATGCATCTTCTAATTAACATTTTAAAACAACATTTATAATTTTATAAAACAGTAAGATCTTATAGAATTAGAGTTCTGTAACAATTTAAGTGCTGTGTCTTTTACATCATCCAGGAAGCCTCATGAAAAATGACATCTGTACCCCTAAATGTGTTAATTTATAATTTAGTCAATATTTTCGGTATCATGAATTGAAACAAATGCATCTTCTAATTAACATTTTAAAACAACATTTATAATTTTATAAAACAGTAAGATCTTATAGAATTAGAGTTCTGTAACAATTTAAGTGCTGTGTCTTTCAGTTCTTCAAATAA